CCTGGGAACTCTAAACAAAGATAAAGCTGCCGTTCCTGATGACTGGAGAGCCGCTGTAGCACTAGAGAGTGCCAGGACGGGGAGTGGGGACTTGAGATAGACAAGGTGGGTGAGGGATGGTTTCACAGAGGATGCGGATATGAAGAAAAGGTAGGCTGTGGTTCAGTATCTGTGCATGGGGATTAACTGATATCATAGGCAACATTCTCTCCTCCAGTCCAGATACTTTGGAGACAGACAGTTCAAATTCCTTGTCTGGATGTTATTCTCCATGCAGTAAGACATATTCCTGGTTATGAGCAAGTGGAGATTAGTTAGCTTGACTTTTTTTTTCTAAATTGCTTCATTGTTTAGTTTGTCTGCCTGTACATTTTATTCGGTACTTAATATTGGTCTGTAAACAGTGGACTGCAAAATTTTAATAACACATTGATTAAGTTTGCCCAGTGACACACTTTTGTAAGCCTCATTTTAATCGTTCTTTTAATACAAATATAAAGATCTTATTTAATTCTAAAAGTCCCCTTTTTGTATGTAAGTGCATGAATGGCTTTTATGCCCCGTTATATCTATGATGTGCTGATTGTGAGTTGAATAGACAAGATAAATTCCACAGGATGTACATGGTTATTGTGCATATACATGTAAATATACACATACAATGAATAATAATATCTGTAAATACATCTACATTTTCTAGAATATGATCATGTTGCAAAGCCCAAAATAAATATTTGTAGATGTGTGTGCATGTAAAAATAAGGTTAATGGACAATCGCTTATATTTTCTTCATATTGCATAATCACGTTTGTACATGCTACATTCAATGTAGACATATAATGCATTTTATTTGAGTTAATTGTTTAGCTAGATTTTATATTGTATGCACTGCTTTAGTTGGTAAATTATATGCAGCCTTATTTTCTCTCTCTCTCTTTTAACAAGTAACTGAGCCTAAAAGTTTTACTCACAAATTAAATGCATTCAGGATTTAAATCACAACATGAGTACCAAGTTCAGTTTTGGCTTCTGTTATAAAAAGTGCATTAAACACAAAGATCTATAAACGGGTGTGATATAAAGAGCCCACTACTGGGAATTATGACAGTGCTCCATCTCCATGGTTACTCTGTTGTGTTTGTACCAATCTATTGTTCTTCATCTTCAGCTGCTTTCACACAGACAAGCAGCAATGAATAAATGGGTAACTTATTATGGTATGTATCCATATCATCCCGAAACAACAGGAGCATTGTAATCACATCCAGATGGACTCCTGCTCTTCGATAGTGTTGTGTTGCTCTTTCTTGTGCTGCGCATGTGGTCATATTTTGCACCTGCCAAGCAGCTGAAGGAATGACAGAAGTCTCTTTGGTCGGATGATTGACTGTTGGATCTTCTGCAGGAAATAAATTACATGATGTATTGAAATACGGTAAAAAAAAAAACACTCACATGTGACAGAGCCAGCGCATCACTGATGAGTGAAAAAAGTCTGCTACATACTATTAGTTATGAATATAACCCCCAAAGATTAGTGCTTTTTAAAAACAAATAAATAAACCTTTTTTTAATCAATTGACTTAATGTAAAAAAAAAGAAAATACAATAAATATTAGAGTAAAAGCAGATACTAAAATCCACACTAAGTTAAAATTTCTTTTGTAAATTTATCTAGTAATATCTTACATTTCCAATTTTATTAATAAAAATAAATGTGGATATTGTAGGCATATAAAGTAACTGATGGCTTGGTCATTGTTTCTTTTTATAAAACATTAATTCTCTTTCTTATTTTGTTGGTTTGTTATTTTTGTTGGTTAAGTGAACATGCCCAATACAGTTATAATAAAGGTCGTCAATGTCACCGTTATCTTAGAACATACACGTCAAATTTCCTTTCTTCAAACTTTCCTTCCCTAAATGTAAGTGAATTACAAAAAAAAGAAAACTTTACCAGACAAGATTAAAAATATTTGAAAACTGGACATGATGTTTACTATTAGGTCTACACTTCACATAAGCGGAGATGTTAGAATTACTAAATTACTTAAAGAAAAAAAAAACTTCTATACCAGAGCAATAACTGAAAAAAACAATATACAATAACACAATACAGACCCACTATCCACGAACCTATTCAGCTGCTTCTGAATGCAAATATCTAATCAGCCAATCACATGCCAAAAAAAAAAAAGGTGATTTAAGTGACTTTGAAGGCAGCATTGCTGTTGGTGACAGATGGGCTGTTTTACGTTTTTCAGACACTCCTGATCTTCTCAAATTTTCTCAGGAATTTACAGAGAACAGTCCAAACTGAAAAGCGAAATAAACATTTCCCTGGGTAAAAATGCCTTGTTGATTGCAGAAGTCAGAGGGGCGTGGCCATGCTGAAGGCAAGAGGAATTCTAAGCCAGTTTCTCAACCCAGCCCATCTGATATCAGTAACCACAACACATTCAAAGTCAATTAAAAGTCGCCTTTCTTGCCCGTTCCGATGCTCGCTTTCAACTTTGAAATGAGACCACTTGGACAACAGTAATGATAAATAATTGCAAATAGAGCATGTTTACAGAATTTAATGTCATTTTTATAGAGCACCTCTTATTTTAAGAAAAGATAGGTGAGACGATTTTTGAAACTAACTGCAAATTAAGCACACAATATTTAATATCTGTATTTTACCATTTTGATAAGACATATTTCAGTACTCCAAAACACTTTTATTAGACAGCCAACATGCTTACAAGTAGTAAATCCAGGTTAGTGGATCATAATTAAACATAACTCTGTGGCAAACGCAGAGTTCAGCAGGCCATCAAGGAAGAAGTGACGTGCATTTCTGCAGTGTAAAGATGCACAAATCATTTTCTCCTTAATCTACAGTCACACAAAGCACCAGGAAAATCTTTGGTGATGTTCTCAGATGATTCTGACGCTTATCACCCAGTTCCTCGTGATGTCCTCCACACCATCAACCCTCTGTCCTCCTCACAGTTTCTTCCTCAGCTTGCCTTTCTTATGGCCACCCCTTCCAAAACCTGACTTTTTAACTTCTCCGAGCCACTTTTTGTTCTTGGAGCGGAGCTTCCTCATCCCTCCGCCCTGCAGGAACTGGTGCTTCTGCTTTTTCTTGCGCTGCTTCATGATCTGATCCTTTGTTTTCAGCTCCGAGCGTGCTTTGTGGTCACCGGAGCTCTGTACGTTTGGACCTCGTCGGCCACGGCCACGACCTGGGAGAGGCACGACACAACAAAGAGGTTGGAGGTTATAGCTCGCAAGGCTGGAAGAGGGACTTGAAGTATTTACCTTTAGAGTTGAGTTAAAACATGGTGGCTGATGGTCTATATTTAACAGGCAGACATGTTTGTGCTATTCATTTTGATGCCTTCCTACCTCTTGCTGGCTTCCTGCCTCCTCCGCCTGTTTCTCCATCTGATCCAGATCCTGTATCATCAATCTTGTATTTTTTCTTCCACTCCTCATAACTGACATGTTGTCAAGTGATACAACATCTTCACAGTACAGCTTAATATTGTCATAGCAGGGCTCTAGAGTGCGACCAATTTGGTCGCAAATGCGACCAAAGTTTTCAGTGGTGCGACTAAAAAAAAAAATTTTATATTATATAAATTATTATAAAATTTGTGTGCGCCTAACTTTAAAAAGTTAGGCATACCGGTACGCCCATGGCAAAAAGTTAGTCTAGAGCCCTGCATAGGAGTAGAGAAGAGGGTCATTGAGAGCAGCACACAGAGAAGCTTTTTGTTGGAAGGATACAAGTTCTTCCTGTTCTTCTTGTTACTGATAACCTGACCGCTGTCTGTTTTGATCTTCTTCTTCTGGTCTTCTTTTCCCGTTTCTCTCACAAAACGCTTCCTCTTACGGTCCCTAAAAAAAGAAGGGGGAAAAAAGACTTTAAATTATAGTTTGAAATGACCATTTGGTGGATACTGAGTCAAACATAGGGAAATTTGTACCATTTCATCATTTTCTTCTGCTGGTTAAGGCGATCGCCTTCATCTCCCATGAGATCAAGGACAGCTGAAGAGGCCTGCTGTTCAAAAGCACTGCCCTCTCCACCGAGACTCAACCTGTCGACGCATAACACAGGACAAAACAGCATAAAACACAAAGCCATTCACATGTTTTAAAGAAACAGATGCAACAGTTTAATGCCTCACCCTCTCTCAGAGTCAAAGTCTTTAGGTCTGTAAGGGATATAATACTCTTCATCTTTGCCTGACTGCCTCTTTTTCTTGGTCTTTGGTCGCTCTTCGCCATCTTCCTGCTGACCTCTTCTTTTACCACCTACCACCTCTGAAAACACCCCCTGGTGGAAATAGAAAGAATTACATGGCACAAAGTGACAAAACATGATACAGAGATCCTACTATCTTCCTCTTCTAGTTTGTATACAACATCATCTACATCAAAACTGCACTTTATTTTGCTTCTTCTTCATCAGACAGCACAAACAACTTTCTCATTTTGACTCAAATATTGGTTTTGAATGAAAATGATGAAACAATCCTGGGTGTTTATTCAACTTGTGAGCAGGTTTTCTAATCCACCGTACGATTATTATTGACACTAGTACATGTTCGTGCTGCTGGCAAACTAATACATTCAAGAACATATAGCAAAGCAAAGAAGTGAAAAGTAGGTCTTGCCTACATAAATAAACATAAGACAGTTGTGAGACTTTGACATAGTAACATCTGCAGTAATATTTACACCTGTGATGAGATCTCACAAGCATTAGCCTTATTTTGAAACCAAGATTGTTTACACAGAGTTTGTAATTGCAGAGAAATGCTCCATTTATTTTGGTCATTTCATTTTTGAGCAGGAAGCTCACCTTTTTTGTTATAGCCTTTAGATGAATAGAGAGTTTTCCAATTAAATACATATTCTTTAAATAATGTTCCCTCTTATAAAAAGTAGGATAATTAAAAAATTAAAAAATGTATTATACCTCTATTACTTAGAAAAAAACCCTGTTTTTTTTCTGTTGTCTGTTATATAACGTTAGTGATGCTCGTTTCAATTCATTTCTTAATCAGCTAAACAGGTCAGTTAAGAAACAGTCAAATATTAAGTTAAATTTGAAAACGGTTTAAAAAAAAATATCTCCATTCCAAAATGTCACATGACAATCTCATTGGCTCACGGAGTTATGATGTCACAACACTTTGATCCTTTGAAGTTTGTCCTTAAACAGGGGTGAGAAACAGCAGTTTTTTAGTTCGTGTCCTCGCAGCATTTGTGTTTGCAGCCTTCACGCGTTCACCACAGAAACTTTTGGAAACCTTTTCAGAGTTGTCGTGTACAACCTTCAACAACATGTATCCAACAAGACACCAACCAAGGCAAAAAGATTACGCCGCTTCTCCTTCCTGTCGTGGCCAGCCAAATGACCTCTTAGCCGTCCAAAGGGCATTACATGACAGTAAGAAGGAAAACTACCATCTCCAGAATAAAATTCAACAGATTGAAGATGAGAAACTTCAACTGGAGGAGAAGTGTAGACAGATGGAAGTGAAATATAAAAGCCTGGAAGAAAGACAAAAACGCCAGCCCGACATAAATATTATTAATGAGGGTTGGGGAATCAAGTTTGGACAAGCCCGAGAGCAGATTGTCTTCCTAATTAAGGAAAACAAGCAAAAGAGCGCGGAACTAAAGGAGATGTCCAACCAGCTTAAAGACAGCAAAGCTACGGTTGAGAAGACAGAATGGGATCTCCAATATATGGACCAAAGGAATCGGCTGCTCCAAACAAACTTCGATGAAGCTGTGAAAAAAAATAAAGAAATCCTCCAACAGAAGGAAGAACAGGAGAAAAAGCAAAGAGACATGGAGCACAAACTCAAAGTCACGGAGGAAAAATACAGAATGCTGAAAGAGAAGGTGGATGATACTCTGCGCCAAAACAAAGACCTTCTTCAAGAGAAAAAGCAACTAGAAGGGGAAAAAGAAAAACTGGACAAACAATGCTCGCACATGCAGAAAAGGATGGAGCAAATGGCGAGAAACAACTCCGAGCTCACTAAGGGGATATTGTTGGAATACAACAACTTGAAGCGCAAACACACTGAAATGCAGGCGCAAAAGCAAGAACAAGACAACATACATGACGACCTGCAGCGTACGCTCCAAGATATCCACAGAAGAAATGAGGAGCTACAAGACATGTACAAAGAAGTACAACAGAGAAACGCAGACATGCACAAGGACAAGATAATGCAGGAGGAAACATCCGAAGAGCTCAGGGAAAAGCTTGAAGAAAAACAAGCAACCTTGGAAGAGGTGGAGAAAACATGCAAGAAGCTTGAGAAACAAAACAAAGAAACCATCGATGAGTTGAGAACCCTCATCCTGGAAAAAAAAGCTCTTGTAGAAAACTGCATGAAAAAGAAGAACAAACGCTTCCGCTGGCCCTGGAGGAGGAACTCTACTGCTTCCTCACCTGGTGTAGCCTCGTCTTGCTCCACCTCTGTTCACCTCCCCAACCAGTCCCGGCAGTTGACTGTCCCCTCCTGAGCCTGGTTCTGCCGGAGGTTTCTGCCCGTTTAAAGGCAGTTTTTCCTCCCCACTGTCGCCTAGTGCGTGCTCAGAGGGGATTGTTGGGGTTTTCTCTCCTCTACCTTGTTTCATTATTTACTTAACTTTTTGTTCTTACTTCATTTTACCTTGTTTCTTTATTTACTTGTTAACGTTTTGTTCTTACTTCATTTTACCTTGTTTCTTTATTTACTTGTTAACGTTTTGTTCTTACTTCATTTTACCTTGTTTCTTTATTTACTTGTTAACGTTTTGTTCTTACTTCATTTTACCTTGTTTCTGTTATTTACTTGTTAATCGTTTTGTTCTTACTTCATTTTACCTTGTTTCGTTATTTACTTGTTAACTTTTTCTTTTTCAACTTATTCATAAAACAATAAACAATTGAATTTATCCTTTGAGTATTTTTCATCAAATCTTTTCATCTATAACTTTTTCAAACATTCATATCTGTCGTTTATCTTCTTCTTGAAACCTCATAAATGGTGAAGGAAAAATCCTGGAACATGGTTTGAAACACTGAAATTGTTTCAGCTGAAACGGCAAAGTCATACGTGTGTGTGTGTGTGTGTGTGTGTGTGTGTGTGTGTGTGTGTGTGTGTGTGTGTGTGTGTGTGTGTGTGTGTGTCACAGGTGACACGGTGTCACTGGTTAGGTCATCATGTTTAGGCTCATTCACTCGAAAAATTATTTAGGCCAAATCTTTAAAACTGTATCATTGCATACACATTTTCAATTCATTTCAATCGCACAAATGCAGAAATAATTATTTGCAGTATCTTATCTGATTTATTTTGAGAATGTCATGCCTGATCATTTGCACCCACACCACCAAAAATGGGGGCAAAAGGGAGGAGATCGCATTTAATCGGTTATAACAAGAGGTCAGAAATATAAGAGCTGCAGAAACCTCTGAATCTCAGCTATAAGCTCATGTAAACCATTTCTACAATCGCCAAACAAAGCAAAGTCACCAAACAGTTAAAAAAGCAGTTAGTCACCATGAATCTGTGGACAGGTAATATCCACACTTTAATTTATGATTTCCTGGAGTTCAATGTGTGCTTAATCCTTAATGAAACTGATGTAAACCTGCAACTACAGAGATCCAGGGAAGAAAGAAAGAAGCAATACTTCACCCATGCTTACTTTTAAATCACTCTCATCCTTTTCGGTAATGTCACAGTCAGCAGTAGTGGTGGGGTTGGTTGGCTGCTGCAGCCTGCTTTCTGCAGCTCGGTCTTCTCTCTGCTTGCTGAATTTGTCCACTAGCCGAGTGTCTTTAGAGCGTTTGGCCCGCATCACCTCACTGGCTGGTGTCTTACTACTGGAGTTGATTTCAAAGATGGTCTATTTCAGGAGACAATTATACGTTTCTTTGCTTACTAGAACACTTTTTACCAGAAAATGCAGCGCTGCGATGTGTCTGCATCAAACTCACCGCTTTGGATTTGTAGCTCTTGATGGCATCGACTATTTGAAGGCACTCCAGTTCCATTTTTTCCAGACCACACCCTGAAACAAATCAAATTGTCTTACTTAACTGCCATCAGTTCCTCACTACTCCTTTTGATTATTTTCATAATTTCTCTCTTCTTTTTATACTTTATCCTCCTTTGAACTTACCAAGTACTGGATGGACACCCATGCTGGACACATCTGTGTTTTTAACCCGTCTGATGGACTCCGGCGAGGGGTTTGGCCGCGACTTGAGGTACTGCTTGTAGGCGTTCTCTGAGACACGGAGCAGATTTTGCAGGTCCAGGGAGTTTTCGTGAGACGTGATCAGATGAGCACTTTCATCATCCAAGATCCTCTGGGGGACTCGACCAAACACACCTTCTGAATCTGGAGTACGAAAAGAAATGCAGACATTTCAATACAGTGACAGATAAAAAGAGCACTAAATAAAGTTTATTAGCAACCTCAAATGTGTAGCACATCAGTTAAACAGTTCATCTGTCACTTTAAGACCTGACAGGCATGCAGTGGAGTCTACCTTGTGTGTGTTCAGGTGAAGCAAACTGAACTGGTCGCCCTAGGAAGAGGTGGAGGTCGTAGACATAAGGCATTTCATCAGGACAAATCAGACTATAGGCTGTGCCACTTCGGCCCGCTCGTCCCACACGCCCTGATGGGAAAAGACAGGGGGAAAATACACGTAATGCTGGCCTAATCATTTCAAATTAAAGAGGCTCAATCACTTTGTTCCTTCTGCATGCAGCTGCTCACCAACTCTGTGCAAGAAAAGTTTGGCCTTGGAGGGGAAGTTGTAATTGATGACATTATCCAGCAGGGGGATGTCTATACCACGAGCAGCAACATCAGTCACCAGAAGCACCATGGCTTTCCGATGCACAAATTTCCCAATGTTGATCTTCCTGGCAGTCTGATCAAGGGCACTGTAGATGTAGGCACACTCTAAACCTTCTGACGACAGCAGCTGGACATCAGGGGAAAAAAAGAAGTCAACTAAAGCTCTAGTTTTTAAAACAATATTTAACATTCTCACAAATTTAGGCTACACTGTTATCTTACCTCCTTTAGGTACTCCACATGGTGTTTGGTGGCAGCAAAGACCACTGTCTGTTCCTGAGGCTTCACTACGTTCCTCAGGAGGTGGAGCAGCAGAGCCGGCTTGTCATCCACACGCAGGTGGAAGAATGACAGCTGATGAAAGTTAGAAGAAATTAAAACATGCTCAAAGCCATGGAAACATCAGGTGACTGTAAGGACTTTTGCTTTGGGCTTTACATTTAAATCTTTCAACATTTCTGGGAGAAGAATACAAAATGTTTGAATAGCAAGTGTCTGAAGACAGAGCAACAAGTAGAAAAACCAAGACACTGACACAGTAGCTGATTTAACATAAGTTAGCATGTAGAGTAGATGCAATAATCCTGTACTCAGGTTGTAATAAATAATGCAAAACCTTCCATCTAATTTCTCAGATTAACCAAAAGGTAAATAAAACAAAAGCAAATTCTGCCTTTTTACCTTGATCTGATCACTGAGCTTGGAATCCACATCCAAACGAATCAGTACAGGTTCTGTCAGGCCTGAGAAAAAAGTTTGTATACACCGGTGTGAATATAATTAGGATTATTTGCCTTTAGATGCGAAAAAATATGGAAGCTAAGTTGAATGAATATGCTTTATGATGAGAAAATAAGCCATAAAAACTTGATCTTCAGTTCAGGTTACGCCCACTTCTCGTTGTCAGCAGTTATTTCCCATAATCCCCTGAAGTCAAAGAATATCATTCACTCTCTATGGTCTCTGGTCACATGTCCCTCTCCAGTGAGGATCCAGGTAACAACTGTAGAGGTTTGTATAGAAAATGCCAACTTGTCTCCAAGCACTCACTAACTTACCAGCTGATCAGCAGTAAAACTTGAAGAACGATACAAACTGGAAGTGGAAACCATTCACCTTCAAAGTTAAAGTTATGCCTCACCAACGTGGCTAACACATTTGAAAAAGGCACAGTTAGTGTTGCCATTTCACAGTTTCACCGCTGCTTGTGGAGTAATTGGCAAGTGTTTGCAACCTATATGTAACCAATTTAACCCTGCAAACACCAGCAACCTCTAGCACCCACCAACTGGTCAGGGAATACACATTTTGTGCAACCAACCAGTGGTTGGCAGGTGTTCACCAACTGTTCTCTAGATCTGTGTGACTGGGACTCAAATGGATATGACTTTGAATGTGATTTTTGTAGTGAAAAGGTAACAAGTGTATATCAATAGATTCTGCTAACTTTCATTTCCCAAGAAAAAAAAGATGCTAACTTTCTTTTTTTTTCATGATTAACAAAAACTGAGGGAAGTGGGGCATGAAGGTGAGAGAGGCCAGACGACAGTTAAAAACAGCAGCTATGGGAAAACATTAGAAGACAGTTTATGCATTTTCTCTAATATGCAGAAGATGTCAACTACATTCAGATGAAACAAATCAACTCGGTCTCTATCTATAATTTAGGCTGTTTACTTACATCACAGAGTTTCAATATTGTGACTTGACTCAACTGAATTAAACCTAACAGAGTAGAAATGAAACGATTAATCTTACCAGCTCTGGCAAACTCCACCAACAGTTTAGGCAGGGTGGCAGAAAACAGCAGAGTCTGTCTAGTGTCTGGAAGTCTGCGGATGATCTCCTGAAGCTGCTCAGCAAAGCCCATTTCGAACAACCTGATTCAGGAAAACATTTCAGAATTCAATTTGGAAAATTAGAACAATAAATAAAAAAATAAAAAATAAAAACATGAAAAATGCAATTTCTCACCTGTCAGCCTCGTCAAACACCACATACTCCACACTGTGCAACTTCAGGTTCATCTCCATGACAACGTGCATAAGACGACCAGGGGTACCGATGATACTGAAGGGGGAGAACTGAGCTTAGCATTTCAGCATAAAAATCCATAAAATCCTATGTACCCTTTTTCTTAAGTTATCATGTGACTTTCAAAAAACTTGACCTCTGAATTCTAACCTTAAGGTCAAGATCGGTGGGATTTGATACCTATTTGCAGTAGACACAACTATGGTATCAATTTGAAACTTCTACATGTCTTTGTTATCATATTCATTAACTTAGGTCTCCACGTGGGGGGTTAAATAAATAAATATATAAAAGCACTCACATGTCAGGGTTTTCATGGAGAGCAGCAAACTGATCTTCCATCCTGAAAAACAGCAGAGGCATTCACATTAACAGACGACATCAAAGAGCAACAAGAAGAACAAAGTAACAAGACAGCTAAGTAGTCACGCACCTGTCTCCACCAAGGATCAAAGCAGTCTTGAGACCGGTGAATTTTCCCAGCTGCGAGACCCCGATAGAGAAAGGAACACAGGTAGTACATTAATGACACACCTAAAGATGTAGTTAACGGCTTTATTTCACACTTTTCACCTGCAAGACCTACATGAACGGTAATTTCCACTCACCTCTTTCGTGAACTTCATGGTCTGTAGGGCCAACTCTCTGGTGGGGGTCAGAATGAGGGCCCTGGCTCCTGTTTGGGCCTGAGGGGCCTTTAGCTTCTCAAACATGGGAATCAG